CATCATGACAATCTAAGATTTCCTCCCAAGGATGCAAAGATAATGCAACATTAGGAACTCTATATTTTAAATAACTCATTATTTTAAATCCTGCCTGGAGGGAAAAAAACAAGAATGAGACAGACCTAGAAACGCTAGCTTGAAAAGGTGCACACCCTGTATTAGTGGAAAAATGCAAGTTGCAGAATAGGTATAATACTATCCATATTTTTTAAATAAAAGAAAACAAACAAAAATCTCTAAGTGTGTATATGCATGTGTGTATAAACACATACACTTTACATATAGTATTAAAATTAATTTCACCTATTTTTTATTTTTTTAATGTGGCAACTAGAAAATTTAAAATCACATACATGCCTCCCATTATATTTCTATTGCACATTATATTTCTATTGCTGATCTATAATATACAAAAAGTTCCCACAAATCAATATGAAAAAGACAAACTAATAGAAAACTGGACAAAGGAAATAAGTATATCAAGAAGAACTACACTTAACCAATAAACATCACGTGTATACATACGTACCTTACAAAACTAGCTATGTGACTCTGAGCACTTTAATTTCTCTGTGCTTCAATTCTCCCATCAGGAATATGGAAACAATAAAGCATCTATTTCATGGGCTTGTTATAAGGGCTAATAAAGTCATCCTTGAAAAGTATCTAACACTGTGCCTGGCACACATAAAAACTCAATAAATGTTACCTGCTATCATTATTAATTTTCCAAAGAAAAACTCAGAGACCAATACATTTAGAAAAGAAAAAATTTCACTTGGAAAGAAATGCAAGTAAGTCCAACTTCAAAAGGACCAGCTAGCCAAATAAAAAGCACAAGTATTTAAAGGAAACAAATGCAAAATTGCCAAAGTTACCAAGTTTAACAGTAGTCTGTTCATGATTTTAAAAAAATTAACAAAGCAAAACAGTATCTTTCTCAAGGGATTACAATATCCACAAAGGAAGTGACCTGTGTTTGGGTACCAACATCGCATAAGCCTAGATGAAGTTGTCATTGCCAAGATTTATGGGAAATACTCAAGGTTTCAATATTAGAAGGATTTGGGCTCAACAGACTGACTCTGTATTCTTGGTTTATCTCAAGGTGCAAATTGCTGTTTATCTTGACTGAGATACATAATGTGCTTAGCCATAACAGAAGAAAGAGAAAGTATCAGTCTTCCTTTCATAGTATTCGTAGGGGAGGGGGGAGTCTAGAAGCAAGTGCACTAAACTGTGAACAATGGTTATCTCTGGGCAATAGGATGGGGAGAAGAGCTTAGTATTTACTGGATGTTTCTGTAGCATTCGAATGCTTTACATGTTCACAAGTTACATTTGTAATCCGTAAAAGAACTAAATAAGATCATGTAAATGTTAAATATCTAAGCCATCTCATGTTTCTTTCTAGTTCTTCCACAGCAGATGGGATAGTTTGCTTTCTAAGCTCTTCAGGAAAAGATTTATAAACCATGCATTTTCTCTACAACCCATTTCCACCACTTCAGTCTGTAGCATTTGCCAGGAGAGCCTTAGTATGCAGTTCCAATTGGGAAGGGAAAAGAATGGCAGGCAATGAATGGGGGAGGGAAGATTAATTCCTTCTCTCTTCATTATTAGATCTCCACCCTAAACCCTGAGACTCCCAATCAGGGAAGTCCTTCAGAGTAAAATCTGGGAGTTCTAAAGTCTTTCATCTTCATCTTCCATCTCCTTATATTTACCCAGCAGATTTGCCCATAGGCAGCCCCTTCTTCAAGGACCAGAGGAGGAAATGGATTCATAAAAGAACTCATGGGAGGGAGGAGAGTCCACAGTAGATACTGCAAGAAGCTTTCATCTGTTTTTCAAGCGAATAATGGCCTCATTCCTAAACGACTCCACATCTCCCTTATGAGCCCCAGCAAGATGGTGGTTTGCAGAGAAGAGGTTCACATACAAGATGCCAGACTGGCAGCAAGTGATAAAAGTTGAGCAAGACTCACTCATGGCTTGCACCCAAATCCCCCTCAGCCAGGTCACCAGCATGGTTCTGCTGATCTGTAGCAAACAAGTGGCTTAAGAAGCCTCCATCTCACCTGTGCTCATGGGCACAGATAGAGATGTACCCCTCAGTATGCACAGACTCACTGTTCTTCCCACTTGAGAACATGAAACTGGCTTTTCATCCAAACAGCCAGGAGTTAACAATATTTGGGAAGGGGAGGGGCCTCATCATTTCTCCTCTGGTTACAGCAACACAAGTGCATTGCTTTGACAAAGTGCATCTCGTAACTGGGTTTTCCAACATAGCACAATAGGATAATGATCACCTTAGAAGCATCTGAATAGACATAATTTTAAACTGGATTGCGAAAAATATAAAAACGTGAAAAAACAGTAAACTAGATTGTGAGCTCAGAATTTGAGGGTCAAAGATTCTACGCAGTGACTTAGATCATGAAGACTCTAAAACAAGGTTTCTCAAACGTGGGTCCTCAAAGATGCTGCTCCAGCAAGGGGCAGAGCCTGATCATCTATAATTCTGATAAGGAGCCCAGGTGATTCTACTGTACCCCAAAGACCTCAGTGTTGGAGGAAGAACAAGACAAACAGTGCCAATTCACAAGAAAAGCTAATATTTATTGAGCATACGCTATGGGCTGGGGCAATGCTAACCACTCTGTAAGCCTTAACTCGTTGGCTCCTCCATTGTGAAGGAGGTGCTATTACCATTGCCCTCAATTTACAGATGAGGACACCAAGGCTTAGAAAGCTTATAACTTGTTCTAATTCTCTTGATGGCTAACACATGGAGTTTGAACACAGCTCTCTCTTTCAGCTTAGAGCCCATGCTCTGTTGCACACTTCCTCACAATAAATCTTAAGGTGATGGGCACCTTGACTTTGCAGGGCATTAAATATAGCTGTCTAGACCAAAGGTTTGCAATCCTAAGAAGCTTTAAAAAATACTTTGGCAACAACCCAAGTGTCCCTGGACAGATGAATGGATAAACAAAATGTGACATTATACACACAGTAGAATGTTATCTAGCCTTAAAAAGGAAAGAGATTCTGACCCATGCTACAACAGGGATGAACCCTGAGGACACAGCAAAATGAAAAAAGCCAGACACAAAGGGACAAATATTGCATGACTCTACTTACATGAGGTATCTAAAATGGTCCAGTCCATAAAGAGCTAGGGTTTAATGCAGACTGAGTTTCAGTTTGGGATGACAGATGGTGGGGATGAGTATGCAACAATGTGAATGTCACTTAATGCCACTGAACTATACATGTAAAAATAGTTTTAAAAAGGTAAAGTTTATGTATATTTTACCACTGTTTTTTTTTTTTTTTTTTTTTTTTTAAGGAAGTTAGTGTCTAGTCCCCATACCAGTATCTCTCCAGGACAACTATCTGTATTTAAAACAAACAAACAAAACACAAGCCAGGTGTTTCTAATAAATACTCAGGGTTGAGAACTCCAGAATTCAGGACTCAGAATTCTGGGACTGATCCTGCCAGAAGCTCTGGATGTCCTTGCAGATTCCTGCCTTCCCATTCACACCAGATGCCTGCACACAAGCCCCTTCACTGCCTAGGTCCACATCTTGTTGCAAAGGTGGCCAGAATCCAAGAATTCATGGAAGATTATGGAAGTGGAAAGTTCAGTGGTATATTGGGTGTTTCCATGGTTTGTAATTGTTTGCAGTGCCTAATCCCCCTTAATAACCTGGGAAGAGGAGGACTCTTACTGACATTCTGTGATTTCAGGATCAAGAATAGAGTTTCCCCACTGAAATCTTAAATTCACCTGCACTGATCAACCTCTGTCCGTAACTCACAAATGTGTATTTCCAGTCTTCTTTCAGCAGCAGCAGCAGCACTTTTGGGGGATCCTCATCAGTGGGAATTATGATAAAGAGGGCTTATTATAAGATTTTTCAGCTGCCCTGGCCATCAGCTCCGCAGCAAATATTCTCTGAGCACCTCCACTTTGCCCCCAAACAAACTCACATCCTGTAGGGAGGTGGATAGCTTCGTTCACCTACTCAGCCAATACCTACCTCTTGAGCTCCTACAATGTACCAGACACTGCTCAATGTACAAGCAACAAAGGCAATATTTAAAATATTCAACAAGTATTCAAATATTCAATAAAGTATTCCATCAGAGAGGATGTTCTGCTGGGCCAAGTGGTAACTCTTAAGTTGCTGGATCATGGGGAAGTCTGCGGGTATTCAGAAGTTGGGGGGCAGGATGGCTGGGATATTGGGGAGGTGTTACTGCTCTTTACCTGCCGATACAGAAGTAGTTCAGGATTTTCACAGCTGGCAAAGTCACAAGAGTAGATACCAGTTGAATGACAGCTTGGCTTGGGGACAGAGGTGAACAGTTCAGCCAAGGTCCCTAATCTCGTGGATTGAACTTCTAGTGCAGGAGAGGTGAACTTTTTCTGTTAATGGACCAAACAGTAAATATATCAGGCCTTGAGGACCATATGGTCTCCGATCCAGCTACACAACTCTATTGTAGCATAAAAGTAGCCACAGACTATAGTAAATAGAGGAGTGTGGCTGTGTTCCAAACAAAGTTTATTTATAAAAATAACAGGCTGGATTTGGCTGATGGGCCAGAGTTTGCAAACCCCATTCTGCTGGATGAGACATGCATACCTGTTCATTATACAAATATTGATCAAGCATCTTCTACATGACAAATATGGCCCTAGGCACTGGTATACTGTACAGAAAAAAAGATAAATGGCCCCACATAGAACTTATTCTCTAATGGGAGAGGCCAAAACAATCCTTTTAATGTGCTATGGTAGATACTAAGATGAAGGTAATCGGGAAATCCAGAAGGGGAAGTAAGTCAGCCCAGGAGTACAAGGAAGGCTTCCTGGAGAAGGTGATAACCATGTTTGCCTGCTCAGATCAGCTTAAGAAGCACGTGTCTTTTCCTAGGGGGTGCCTGTCATCACCAGCTCTTCCCTTATATCCCCCCAGTCTCTGAACAGCTACAACGATGGTGACATTGAAGGATCCAAGCGACTTGGGAGGAATGCCAAGTGGGTGGCCATCGCCTCCATCATTATTGGCCTTCTCATCATCGGTATTTCTTGTGCAGTTCACTTCACAAGGAAGTAAGTAGGCTTCTTGAATCCCTCCCCATGTAAAATGCCTTCTCCTGAATGCCTGTTGGGATCTGTGAGGACAGGTTAGGTTATGTTCTAGTAGTAAACAATCCCAAACAAAAGAGTTTTCATTTTCATTTTCATTTCCACAAGCCATGGGGCTTTGTGGAGCCTCTCTCCTCCACCCAATCACTCAGGGTCCAGGCTATCTGAAGCTGTCCTGTAGCTGCTCTGGACACTGTCCTGTAGCTGTCCTGTAGCTGCTCTGTCTAGAACAGGGGTCAACAGACTCTTTCCACTAAGGGCCAAATGGTAACTATGATAGGCCTCTATTACCATCTCTGCTGTAACTACTTAACCTCTGCCATTTTGGCATACAGGCAGCCAAATACAACATGCAAATGAGTGAGTATGGCTGTGTTCAATAAAACTTTATTTACAAAAATAGGCGTCTGGTCCAGGGGCCATAGTTTTCCAATCTCTGAGAGAGGAAAGAGGAAGACCAGAGATTCCCACATAGATTTTTACTGCCTCGGCCCTGAAGTGACAAATGTCACTTAGGCTCACAATTTATTAGCCAAAGCCAGTCACACAGTGCCACCTTGTTGTAAGACAGTGGGGAATGTGGGGGAATAAATGGGTATTAGGATCATTACTTGCTCTGCCTTACCATCCGATCTGCTCAATGATTTCATCATTTTGACTCAACTGGGCCTACCTGTTCTTAGCGTAAGGGCAGAAGGGTGACCACATATTTTTGGTATTGCCAACAGGCTCTCATCTCATTAAAGAGATGAATGCTGTTGCTATTTCTCTCTGGATTTGGACAAATTTATCCTGATTTCTCGAACCAGCTGAGATGTGCTGAATCTGCTAGAATCGCTGACATTGCCCATCGGAGGCTTGGCAGAGGGCAAGGTCGTGTGACGGATGACTGAGACCCGGAAACGACAAGCCCAGATCCATCTCTGTCTCACTAACTCCTGGCAGGGCAGATAAGAATTCTGAGAAATCCTTTAGCTCTTCTGCCAGAGCAGCACAGTTAGCCCTACACCGTTTCCCTCAAGCTGAGAAGGTCAGCCACTCTGGCTTGGTTTCAGGAAAGGCTCACCTGGTGGGTGGGGGAGGAAGGGGACACCCTTGAGCCTGCCAGATGGGCCAACGCAACCTTGGCAGCCAAGAGGGGTAGTACATGAGGTCAACTTCCTATCAGACAAGCCAGACCCAGGAGCAATCGGGGCAGCTGGACAGAGGAGATGTGAAGACAGGAAGTGGCACAAAGGGAAAAAAAATAGGTGGTTTCAACCAAAGAAAGGAGAAAAGGACACTAAAACATCCTAGGAAGCTCAAGGTTTCTTGTCTACAAGATGGAAAATGGATGATGTTGGCTGGCCTATAAAGAAGATGGTCAGGGAACAGATATAAACGCAGACCCAAATTTATTCTTTAAGGAAGACATAGAGTGCTTGTGTGTAAGCATGGGGCTGTGGAGTGTGGAGTTAATGGTGCAGGTTTGGCACCAGATTTCTTGGGTGCAGCTTTCCCCCTCTGCCACTTACTGCCTGTGAGACTCTTAGCCAAGTGCTTTGCCTTAGTTTCTTCTTCTTTAAAAATGGGAATTATAGTTGTACCCATCGAACAAAGCTACAGTGAAGGTTAATTAGATGACCTGCATGCATATAACATGGTGTCTGTTCCTTAGTTGGTACTGAAAAAAAAATGCAAACCATTTACTAATCCTAGTATTACTACTGTTGCCAATTATCAACATGACTGGGAGAGGACCTCAGAATTTAAGATGCTACCAAACACAGTTCAAGCCTTTGTACTCATGAGCTAAATTCAGAGGACGGTGTTCCAGGGAAACGAGGCTAAGTCTTGGCCTAACTCTTGGAGACTTGTGAAAATACATACTGCCCAGATCAGTGTTGAACTGGGTTATAATAAGAGTAGCTGACACTGACAGAGAACTTAGCATAGGCCAGCTCCTGTCTAAGCTCTTACATGAATGAATGAATCCCCATGACAACCCCATGATGTAGGTATTCTCATCCTCACTTTGCAAATAAGGAAACTGAGACTTGGAGAAGAGAAATAACTTGTCTGATGCCTCACAGCTAATTCGTGATAAAGTCAGGGTTTAACCTGAGATCATCTGGCATTGAAAGCTGTGTTCTTAACCACAACGCCACACTGCCTCTAAGCCAGTAACTAGTATACTCCATAACAAAAAGCAGTAGATAGCACTCACCTTGTGTCTACCTCTAGAACTGATTTATATGGGGGTGGTATGATGGGGTTTCAACGTAAAAAAAGGGGGGGATGCCTGGATGGCTCAGGGATTAAGCATCTGCTTTCGGCTCAGGGGGTGATCCTGGGTCCAGGTCCAGGGATCAAGTCTCATATTGGGCTCCCTGCGGGGAGCCTGCTTCCCCTTCTATGTCTCTGCCTTTCTCTCTCTCTCATAAATAAATAAAAATCTTTTAAAAAAAAAAGTGATGAGACAGCATCAGGATAACAAAATCAAAACACTGCAGAAGGTAAGCAAGGAACATGAATGAAGCAGGCTGGCTGTGGAACAATAGGGGGTGGTGGGGACTGTGATGTTCAAGAGCATAGTCCAGCTGATGGGGACCACCTAGAATGCAGACCTCATGGAGCCTTTTTCAAAAGACATTGGAAAGCTAGGTTTTCGTGTCAAATCTCCTTTAGATGTTGGCAACTAATTCACAGTTTTTCAGCACATAGCGAGAACCAGAACCAAAATGAAAAAAACAAAACAAAACAAAACAAAAACCACATCTCCAGCATGGACATTATCTACTTTGTAGTCTCTGGTGGACATTCAGCTTTCAAAAATCATCAGTTTGCCCATTAGACACCATCCAAGAAGTTTTACAAGGGACCCAAAAGTCTTCATATGTGAGGACTTTCTCCATTTTTAATATCAATGTTTCTATCTGGAGATGAAGCATTGATGTGGATATGCTTGTGATTAAGGTTTTGTTAGCAGTGACAAAAGATATGACAGGGAGTCACCCCTTCACCCCTTCTTCCTAAGGAGCAGTGTTTCACAGTGGTGAGAGCCTGGACTCCAGCACTGGCTTTCCAGGATTCAAATCCTAGCTCTACCACACAGATCACCCTGACAAGTTACTAAATTCTCTCAGCCATCAGTTTGCCTATCCATAAAATAAGAAGAGAACTACTTCCCCACCTGCCTGGCCAGGTTCCTTTTAGATACCCTTCCCACCAGGTTATCAAAGAAAGCAAAAATAATGTTTTCCAGTGTTAGAATCCCATGGAGAAACTCAAATGTAAAGGCTTTGTCATGTGTTGCATGTGTGAGTGTGTGTGTGTATATATATATATATATATATATATATATATATATATATATATAGACAGAGCAAGAAACTAGCCCTTGGAGAATGAAATCAATTCTATCTTCCATTAAGACTAATAACAGGCCAATTTCTCAGTAATCCTTGGAAATAAAATTTCCCAGTCCTGGGAGGAATTGAACAGCAATATGGAATTACTAAGGCAGAGGTTCCCTAACTTGGAGCTGCATGCAAGTTACCTGGAAGGTTTAAAATAAGTTGACATCGGAGCCCCATCTCAAAAGATTCCAAGTCGTAAAATCAAAAGTGGGGCCCAAGATTCTGCATTTCCCAGCTCCCCCTTCCCGCCCTGGGGTTTAGATGCAGGTGGCTACGACAATACTCTTTGCCAAACGTCCTCCCTCCCAAACCCGCAAGGAAGAATGCACTCAACGAAGCTAGGCTTTAACAGAGTGACCAGTTTTCATTCCCACTAGCAAACTCATCACCCTAACTGTGTTAGGGCTCACTCAATGCCAAGGAGGGGAGTCAGGTTACCACCAAGGAGACAGACCCATTCACAGGGGAGGATCTTTTGTAACAATCCTCAAGGCAGCCAGGGCTTCCATAGGGGGTGCAGGGCGGGGGGGGGGGGGGGGGGGGGGATGGGGAAGTCTGACTTTAGAGGAGCCCAAGTCTGGACATGAGACAAAAATCCTTGAATATGTGACTTCTCTGAATTTCAATCCAAAAACCCTCTGAAGTAAACAACTGCCTTTTAAAAACTCATGAGGTCCTGCCTTTTTAAAGAAAAGTATTCTTTATCCTTATCAACAACACTGTAACGAATCCTGAAGTCCCTGCCTTTAAAAAAAATTACTCTGTATCCTTATCAAGAGAACTGTAACCAATCTCTTCTCCCTCAGATGATGGAAATCCCAGGTGGACAGACTGGGGTCATGAGAGTATCCCAAGTCAGAAAAAATGTCTCATTCGTCCTAATTTTGCAGGATATCTCTGTAAGCCATGTGGTGGTTGGAGCAAAGAAAGAGTTTTGTGACATCAAATCCACAAGGACTGGGAATCACTAACAATGAAACATTCAACAGCTTGGTACAGAATGTAGGGCTCCCAGAAGAGAAGGATTCTGGTGCAGATGGAATCAGAAACTCACAGGCTCTCCAGGCCAGAAAATTTCCTGCCCTCCAGCTTGTAGGAAAAGTAAAGAAATGAATAGCACAGAGCTCAAACATTTAAATATTGCTGCAGTCTATTTATTGATCGAAACATTCAAGTCCCCAGCCTAAATCAAACTATCTGAAGGCTTTTACTTTCTGTTGGTGCCTTGAGGATTCGAATAAAGTGAGGTTATTCCCATCGTGTTTCTCAAAGTCTCGGAGCCACCTATGACAGTTTCAGCTGGGATGTTTGTAAAAATGCAGATTCCTGGCCTCGAATCAAGAAACCAACTGACTCTTAAATATGCATTATCACAAGCAACACCCACCCAAGATAGTTCTAGGTATTCTGAAATTGTAGAACCACTGTTCTAGGGCTTTGCATTTGATGGAGAACATTCTTGCATGCGTGAACATATGCCACAAAATAGGTCTTTTTTACATCCTAAGATACCAGGTATAAGTTTCAGCTACTGCTGTTTCTTCCCTACTCCCTAGAAACTTGACATGCCTTCCAAATTTGTTCTTCCCTCTCGCCTCATGATCAAGCTCATGGTAATATATCTGATGCCTTGAAGAATTCAGGGGGAGTTCCTTAGCAGCAAAAACAGTTGACAAAGCTTGGATGTAAGACAGATGAGAGTTGTCAACCACAAATATGACAAATGACATTCAATGCACTTTCATCTTACTCAGGGGTGAGGTTCTAATGTGAGGACATCATGTGAACTTTGAGGGTAATCAAAATTCATCTTGGAAGCATCCATAGGGGGATGCCCTATTAGAGATTCACAGCCTGTATCCTGGTCAGCTGAAGAGAGCCAGTGTTCCCACCAGTTTTGGAAGAGATGATGTTCCTTGGGTTGAGTAGAAGCTGAAATAGACGCTGGAACCATGCTCCAAGTTCACACAGAAGGAATAGGAATCATATGCCCATCCATGCTCATGAGCATGGAGCGTGGCGATGGCCAGAATCTCCAGCTCCATTTAAATGGTTGCTTTTCCTCTTGTTGAGAAACACCAACGTTTCATTCATCATAAGTTAAATGCACATGCAATGTAACTCCATTGAACTGACATTTCTGGATGGCCTTGTAGGCATCTAAATAGCCAGGCACACCCCTCCCGTGTATTAAAAATGCTGTTTGTCATTCTTGCAATAAAAGCCTCATGCTCTGAAGTTTCTATCAAGGAAGAACTTGACCTCCTAACTGGATTAAGGATCCCACGGTAGTCTACCACGAGCAGACACAAAGTTAGCAGATATTAACCCATTATGTAATGGTAAGGCTTATGTCTTACAACAACCTGGCATGAATCCTGGCCTGGCCTCAAAATATCCTTCAGTTGCATTAGGATTAGAAGTGAGCATATGTATCATGGAGGGCAAGAAGCAAGAAACTGGCCTCTTTGCAGAAATGTACAAGCAAATCCATCTTCTTCCCTACAAGATTTGGTTAGAGTAAAAATTCCTGGGGATTGTTCTGCATAGATATGTCTTCAGAGAATTCTTGTGATTCCATGATGAAAAATGGGGAACATTACCTACTTCCAGAAGGTCAGAGGGCCTTTCTTTGTTGGTTCTGATAAGCTGGAGTCAAGACAAGTCACACCTAAGTCATCAGTAACAATGGAAAGATTTCAGCTTTGTAAAGGATATAAACTGGCAGACTTTGACAAAGAAATCAAAATAACCGAAAAAGATGTTCAACCTTACCAGTAACTAGGCCAACACAAATTAAAGCAACAATGAGATGTTTGGGTTTTTGTCTGCCAGATTGAAACAATTAAAAAGATGGATAGTATCAAGGTTGGTGAGAGTGTGAAGAATTAGTTAGATACAACACTGTTAGTAGAAGAGTAAATTGGGACAGTCTGTGGGAGGTCAATTTGGAAACATCTATTAAACTTTAAAATCCATGTGTCCACCCACTCAGCAAATCTACCTCAGAGTATCCTCTCTAGATACAGGTGCACAAAAAGGATATAAAATGGTGCCTCTCTTCCCTAGCTACAAATTAGAATCACCTGGGGAATTAAAAAAAAAAAATGCCCAGGGCCCACCTTGGATCAGTTAAATTAGAATCTTCAGTGATAGGGCCAGGCATTGGTAGATTTTAAGGCTCTCCAGAGGATTCTAATGAAGCCAGGGTGGAGAACCAAGGATGTGCAGTGATTTTCATTGCAGCTCTGTCTGAAATAGGGGAAACTGTGAAACAACCTAAATGGCCATCAGCTGGAAAATGATTAAATATGCAGTTGTTTATTCATAGGATGGAATGCCACACTGCAGTTTAAACACAGGTAATTTCCCATACTATGGCTTTACAAGGCCCCACATGATCTGGTTGCTGCCTTTTTGTCTTCATCTCCCAGCGCACATCTCCCCTCACTCCTCCACTTTAGCTACACTGAATTCCTCTCTCTTCTTTGATCAATACAAGTATGCTCCTGCCACAGGGCCTTTGCACTTGCTGGTCCCTCTAGAGTTTTCTTCCTCCTAATATCCACATGGCTTCTTCTCATCTCTCCTTTAAATGCTTGCTTCTATGTTAGCAGAGAGGCTACCCCCGAGCAACCTCTCTAAAATAGCACCCCACCTTCCTTCCCTTGGTCCCCTTATCCCAACTTTATGTTTCTTCCTAATATTTGCCACTCCCTAAGAAACTATATATATATTTATATATAACTTACATAATATATTGATTCATAATTATACATTTTATATATTAATGTACATATAATTATGTATATTTTTATGGTCTATCTCCTCCTACTGGGATGAAAACTCCAAAAACATTTTCATTTCTGTCATTGCCCATACTAATAGAGCACAACACCTAAGGGAGCACCCTTAGCTTCACTTTGAAGCTAAACTGGTGGGGTTTAAATGCAGGTTCTACCTCTAAGTAGCTTGTGTGCTCTTGGGCATGTCTTTTAACCAGTCTGTACCTTAGTCTTCCCATCTGTAAAATGAGAATAAAATAGTACCTAGCCCACAGGACTGTGAAGATTAAATTGTATAAAGCACAAAGCACAGTGTCTGACACATGGTACTTACCATGTGGCTGTGGGGCACTGTGTCATTACCAGCATCTAGAGCACTGCCTGGCACGTAAATATTTATTGAATAAATGAATGAATGAATGTATATATATGTCATATATATATTATATCATATATATATGATATATGTACACCATATATAGGTATATCATTATCTCATTTATATAAACACACAAGATGAATTTCTAAGTGCATAGTTACGGATTTAACTACAGAGAAAAACAACTGGAGGATGCACATACCAAATCCTAATGGTGCTGCTAGCTTTTGAGGAGAACAAGGTTCAGAAATGCTCACAAAGCATTTTGCTGCATCTGTATCATTTGTGGGTTGTTGGGTTTTTTTGTATGCACCAAGTGTAAAATCAAATGTTTCCAGATAAACGTTTCTCAAAAGGAAACCCACACTTAGTCTCAAAAGTATGCAGATATGCTGGTCCAGATCCGGGCTTGTTTAATCAGAGTGATCCTATAGAGAATGGAAGCCCTTGGGCCAAGAAGGCTCAGGCCTGCTCTCTCTCTCTTTCTTACTGTCTGTTTGTCCCACACAGCGCCTGAGCGGGCCAGCAGTCAGCCGCAAGGACGGAGGATGGACCTCATCCACACACAGGAGTTTCTGAGGAATGGGCCCTTGACTTCAGACTGTGAGATCTCTTCCTCCAGGACTCTCCAGAGGCAGGTCCCTGGCAAATGAACTTAAAAAAAAAAAAGAAAAGAAAAGAAAGAAAGGAAAAGAAAAGAAAGGCTAAAAAAAAGGAAAGAAAAGGGAAAAAAAATCCAAAATTAAGGAAAACCAAGCAGCAGAGCCAGATCAGCCAGTCGTTGACTTAAAAAAGAAAAGAAAAACTCAAATCTCGCTGTCTGAGTTTAGGGAAAGCCTCTGTGTCCATTCCTCTTCTGCTGAGATGAGCCTCAGGAAATCTCATTTCTTCTAATGGGGTGGGGGGGATCCTAGGAAGAGCAATGGATGCTGTTGTCTGCAAAGCTGGGCACAAACCTTTGCAGCATGTTTAAAGTTGTCCGACAGAGTGTAATTTGCGCAGGTTTTTTTTTTTTCCATGTATTTTACATGTTGTAGCTAGTGAGTCCTCCTCCATCCCTGCCACAACCCCCAAAATTCCATCAGTCACTAAAGAAACAAATGAAGGGGCTTTCTGGCCTTTTGTCCTGCCCCCCAACCCCCAAAGTTCCATCAGTCACTAAAGAAACAAATGAAGGGGCTTTCTGGCCTTTTGTCTTCCGATGATCCCCTCCCTTGCTTGCATCCACCGCTGGTCACTTCACTCCCCACTTAAAGACTCTGAGAATGTACTTAATGGCCAATTCTAGGTACAGAAGCACCTTCCCCATCCCAGTTTTGGAAATAAACTGGCTGTGTTTATGGAATGTGCTTTATTCCAACCTCTCCCTCTCTTTTTTTAGTAAGTCTCAGGCATGATCTTTGATCTTCCTGGATGCCAACCTAGAAGATGCTACCCACTGTATTTCTTTTCTGGCAAATGCAACCCCTTCAGGTGTGATTGTACTGGTTTAATGATGCTATAATTCTGCCCACCAGAACACGCCAACCCAGTGTTTCACAGAATACAAGGTGTGTACCACTGGTGGTACACAAGGATATTTTTAAGTCCTTTATAGGCACAACATTAAGTGACGAAAGTCACAAAATATGTTTCCCCTTTTCTAGTCTTTTCCAATGCTGATTACAGCAAAGAGAAAGTCTGTGGTTAGTGCTCATGGGTCCTTAACACACTTGTATTACTTTAGCTCTTTTCCCATCTTCTTAAAGAAAGAGCAGGCCTCAGGTTCAAAGTCTTCTGTCTAGATAGAACTTTAGTAGCACAGTCCTGTTTTTGTTGTATTTCTTATATTAATTACCTTCCATTTACAGTTTCCCCTTAGGCATGTGATATATTGCTTCTATTCAAATAAATTTACTCAAGAAAAATAAGTGGACTCAAAGAAAATATCCAGGGATTAACACATCAGAGGATATGTATATATGGCAAAAATAACTTCAAGAACTCATTAGAAACACAGTGATAATGAACTTTCCTAAGCAAGAGAAAAGGCAGCTTATTCTAAGTGAATAAACATGAGGCTGAGAATTAAAATACCTGAGTCCCAATGCCTCTTTTGCCACTAACTAGCTATGCAAGCTGATTTTAGGCAAGTTTCTTAGCCTCTGAGTGCCTCGGATTTCTTCATCTAGAAAATGGACATAAGAACACCTACCTGCTACATACCTCAGAGCGTTGTTATGAGAATTAATCGCCGTAATAGATGGGAATGCCCCTGGAGGGAGATTCTAAGTGCTATACAAAGACAAAGCATTGTTCTTAGATTACTATGAATCTCAGGAGGTTGTTAAAATCCTGGACCCTAGCAAAAAAATAAACGTTGAGATGAACATCAGATTCCACCTGTCATTTCACTTGGATGCCTGCCATGAGCCAACACTTGTCCCAGGAGAAAACTGAAACAGGGCCATGAATTCTCAGCACGCAGAGATCCTAGCGTCATTCCAGTGTATTAGGTCCTGATTTCTGTTTCAGACATCTCGTTTCTTCTTTGTTTGTGTTTGGGTCCCCAATCTTTTTCCTAAATCAAATGAGAAGTGTTGCTGAGAGGCAGAATAAAAATGGTTTTAAGTAAGCCTGTTTATCATGGTGTGCAAGTTGTGTTTTCTTGGGGCTCCTAAATTTCTCCTAGAGACTCTCATAACCAGAGTGGGCTCCTGGATCCCGGCCTAAGCCTATAGGGAAGAACAAAGAGAGGCTGGAGGTGGGGCTAGAGAGGTGTCAACTCAGAACCCATGGCCTGAGTTGCCCTCCCAAGAGGCACTGAAAATGTTCTTCCCACTGAAGTCACTAAATGAGATCCCTGGGATCCAGAGCAGGTCTGATTCTTACTGGGTCCTCAGGCCCTGGCAGAGAACTTTCATAATGATAAAGTGGGGTTATGGGCTACTCCAGGGCTTCCTGCAATGCTGAGATCATCCTTGCTCTAATCCAAAAAGCAGTTAGAAAAAGGATTGACTAAGGGCATCAGCCAGGGGATACTTTCAGCAGCCAGTGACAAAAAAATTTTTTTAAATGTTTTTAAAGGCTAGAACAAAACATAAGAGTTTGCTGGTTCCTCTAACTGAAAAGTTCCAGAGATTGTTTCAGGTGTGGCTGCATCTTGGCGCTCACCATTAAGAACTTCTTCCTATCTATTTCTCAGCTTCAACTTCCTGAGTTCATTTTGGTTTCATGATGACATGATGGCTGCCACCAGCTTCCAGCTTCTCCCACCAGCTTAGCAATGCCAAGCAGAAATGAAGTGTCTTCTCTAACAGCTATGGGAGCTGGCAAGGAGAGAGGGTTGATTTGAAATAATGCAAAATTGATTCAGAACCAGGACTAATCTATCAGCATGGATACCAGCAGGTGTGGCTTCCCTTCTAACACGAATTGAATCTGTAGCCAGGGGTGTGTGGCACCCTCATTGGCCAGGCCTGGCTCACGATTCAGCCAGTGGAACTGAGGGGGAAGTCAGCTCCACCCAAACATTATGGATTGAGGGAGTGGGAAGGATGGTTTCCCAAAGGAAAACCGAAGTGCTTTTACCAGAAGAGGGAGAGACAGAAGCTAAACAGAAGAAATAACCATCATCTGCATTAGGCATGCTGCTTCTTACTATGCCTGCCACAAGCAGGGCAAAAGTAATGTAAAAGCTTTTCAAACAATTTCCCCAGCCTGTTGTCACTCTCATCCACTCCCTCATTCAATCGTTCTTTACAGAGCACCTATTCAACCATGGGCTAGGCTTTGGAAATTCCAATATGATAAAGAGAGACCCTGGGAAGAGTTCACAGTGAGGAACAGGCACATACACAACAATTACAAGAAAATTTGAGGATACTAAGACAGTCATGAACAGCGTTACACAGTCACGTTGCAGGAGGCGCCACTGGCTGTATCCAAGGGGGTAGACTCAGGGAGCAAACGTCCCTGTCCCACCGCTCTGTGAATTGCTAAGGCTGATAGGGCTATAGTCCTTGAAGTTGCCCTATCTTTACCCAAGAGTTATGGGCAGAAGCAGATGCAGACATAAATTCGCTGGCCTCAGCTCCTGGATCAGCAAATTATCTTTGGCCTACACCAGGACAGCTGCATTCAGCAAAACAGCATTATGCATGTATCTTGATATGTAATCCTAGATCCAGGTTTCTAAATATAAAAGACAGTTTTGGGCCACTGATTAAAAAAAAAAATTCTAAGACAGGATCCAGATTCTTTGGCTACTACTAATCCTTAAAAAATACTCGTGGATATTGAATATTTGAGCTTGAGGAGTGCCCTATAAAAACAGGTCCCTGAACCAACACATTATGAATTCTGGTTTCAACATACGCAAAAAGAGGCATAAAGACTACCCAGGCATCCACCCATCATTCCTGGAGAAGCCACAGAAAGAAGGAATTCCCTTTCTAATACAGATTTATTTATGATTTGTTCCAATAGAGATTTCTTTATCAGGGGTCAGGAGAGTGAAGTACAGAGTTGCCCTTGGGTGTTCTTCTGGGTCAGGCATTTGAGTTTCATTTGTGTAGCTGGTTGCAAACCTCGGATGGGCAGCCAGGTCAAATCTGTGATGGTGACGACTCTCAATCCTTCTTCCTTCTTCCGGTCTGAATGTTCATTTGCCTGGTTCACTGTCATAAGCTGGTTCACTGAGGTGCCCTGCCATTTTAATTTTCCAAAGCTGTCTGCTCCTGGCACCGCCACCACGTGTCGATTCCTCCAGGCAATGTGGAATCTCATGTATGAGGACTGGGTGTACTTCAGAGTGAATATATTGAGAGGAGCTCAGGAAAGGCCAAATCCTGCCTCTGCAGAGGTAACAAGTGGCCTGACGACCAGCATGACAGAGGGCCTAGCACAGATCTCAACAACTAATATGGATGGTAAATAGATGTTTCTCGAGCCTTACCAAAGTTCATCCAGACAATTTCAGCAGTCTTCTCATAGGTCTTGCTTGTGTGTTTGTTGCTGATTGGTGCTATAACAAATACTACAAACTTAGTGACCTGAAAACAACCCACGTTTATTGCTTTACAGTTTTAAAGGTCCAAAGTCCAAATCAAGTCTCACTGGGCCAAAACCAAGATGCTTGCAGGGTTGTATTCCTTCCCACAGCTTCTCAGGGAGAATCCATTCTCTTGCCTTTTCCACCTTGTAGAAAATGCCCACATTCCTTGGCTCCTGGCCTCCTTCCATCTTCAAAGTCAGCAATGGCCACTGGACTCTCTCTCACTTGGCATCTTTGTGGTTCTGAATTCTCAGCCTTCCTCCTCTCCATGTAAAGACCCTTGTGGTCACACTGGGCCCACCCAAGTAATCCAGGCTAATCAATCTCCTTATTTCGAACGCAGCAGATTAGTAAACTTAATTCCTCTTGCTGTGTACCCTCACATACTCACAGGTTCCAGAGATTAGTATAGGGACATTTTGGGAAGATTGTTATTCGGCCCACCACACCCTGCTTTCAGAGCTGATCCTCCTCCAGCACTCATGGCAGCCTGACACCAATCTCAAAACCTCAACTGAACCACATCATTGCTCGGCTCATCCACCTACACAATGGCTTCCCATGCAACTAAAACTCAAACTTTTAACCATGGCCCACACAGCTCCACATGATTAGACCTTTGTCTGCCTCTCAGATCTCATCTCCTACCACTCCTGCTCGCTCCTTCTGCTGCAGCCCCACGCCAGCCTTCTCACTACTTCCCAAACATGCCAAGATCGTTCCTGCCTCAGGGCCTTTGTCTATGCTGCTTTCTCTGCCCACAATACCAAGTCCTGCCCATAACCTGAGTCCTGGATTCTCTCTCCCTCATCCTGCAGGTCTCAGCTTCTTGGAGAGGGCTGCCCTAACCTGCCCTGTCTAAGGCAGCCATGCCACCCCCAGGGTCTTCAATTTGCATGATCACATAGCCCCAGAGCTTTACTTCAAGGTCTATTACAATGGAGTTAGATACAGTCATCAGTTGTATAATTATCCCATGTCTATCTTTCCCAGCAGAGTATCATCAGCCCCTATGAAAGCAGGAACGCTGTTTACCTTTCTCACCTCTGCATTCCCATGCCTGGCATAGAGAAGGTTTCCGGTAAGAATGAATAAATAAATAATAAATGAGAATGAGGGTATAGCGCGGGGAGAAATGGAAAAAGAGAACAGAACCAAAAGTTGCTCCATCATCTTGGCCTTATTTTTACATTATCCGGCAGATTTAAACCTTATTTTTGAAGGAAGTGACTGACCAAGGAACTGGTTCAAAGTGCTGTCCCCAAACACCCTCATTTATTCCTTTGTCTCTCATCATGACGGTTTGGAAAGAGGAGGTTATGAAAATTCACATACACCCAAAAGTTATTTCAAGAAGATAGGGACCCCAATGAAGAATGCCAGCTTGTGGGGGTGACCTCTCCCCCAGACTCCCTTTGGGGCTGGGCTGCCCTCTACTGGAAGCAATGGACAAAAGGCACTTCAGGGTGTTCTTTGATGGATGGCATATTCCTTTTGCCTTTTCTTTTTTTAAGATTTTATTTATTTTATTTGAGAGAGAGAGAGCACAAACATGGGAAGGGGCAGAGGAGAAGCAGGCTCCCCACTGAGCAGGGAGCCTGACGCCAGGCTCAATCCCAGGACCCCTAGATCACAACCTGAGCCAAAGACAGACACACTTACCTGACTGAGCCACTCAGGCACCCCTCCTTTTGCCTTTTCTAACCCTCTGCATTTCTGTAAGGAAATCCAGAAATGAGCTGGAGGGAAATCACACCACTTTGATAGAGAAAAACAGCAACGAGCTCCCGAGTAGCCACCTTTCAATAAAGTGGAAACAGAGCTAAGGCTTTTTAAGATCTTCCATCAGGCCAGGAACTGTTCTAAGCACTTCATGCCAGGTAATCTTGGCAAGACCCACCCGAGGAAGTCACTGTTTATTGTCCACTTCAATAAACAAGGAAACTGAAGCATGGAAAGGTTAAGTAACTGGTTTGCCCAAGGGCCCATGACTAGAGAGTGGTAGAACTAGGGTGTGAACCTGGGCGAACTGGCCCCAGAGCCTGGGATCCCAACCATGATGGTACCTGCCAGCAGTCGCTGGTTCAAAGCACTAAACTATAGTCTGTTGATATATATATATATATATATTTTTTTTTTTTTTACTGATTTCTAGGATAATTTTCAGGCTAGCTCACTCTAAAATTTAGTGGTGGCCACAAAATTCTCAAAAGCAATGTAGATGCCAATATGCACATCACTGTTCCTTAAAAACACCAAAGGTAGGTAAAATGCCTGATGACAAAAGAAGGCAAAGGTTGGCTCAGTAGGGCTAGTTCTTCAGTCTCTACATTCTGCAATTCTAAAATTGGCTCTTTTCCTCCCAAGATATAGTTTAACCATTCTTTAAAAAGTGGGTAACTATGATAACATTGAGGCAAATTTCATGGTTTGCTAGCTACCAAGGACTGTGCAAAGCCCTTAAATGAACTTTCACATAATTGCTGTTAGTTACAACTACCCAGATATAAATACTATGATTAAGTCATCTTTGCCTCCAAGGAAACTGAGGCACAGAGAGGTTAAATAATTCGTTCAAGGTTAC